TGCTTCTAGTAAAGACAAGCATATCGCAAATTGTAAAAATCAGATGTGCACATGCGCAAACTACGCAATGTCAACATTATTATTTATAGAGATTTTTTAAATTTTTAACCAGATTCTTCTAGTAAAGACAAACATATGGCATACTTTAAACATCAGGTGTGCGCATGCGCAGACTACATCTTAAGTTTCTTATTTATAACAATATTTATGCGGTAACTTATTTTAGTTTGTACACACAAACAGTCCGTTGTATGACCTGTCCGGAAGTACTGATGAATTCATGGAAAATGCGCTAAGTTGCTCGCCTTAAAGCGAAAACTTTTTTCATTTTTAAAAACATGCTTGCCAAAAGTTCCCATTATTCAGGTTTTAGCGAGGCGGGCAGAGACGAAAATTTTAGTGCTTGTTTACACGTAACTTTTGCCTTGAGCCGGCCCTGTATGGCACATACAAAACAAGTTAAAAAGTAATCGTAAAGGATTTACATAAAGCGCATTTCCACTTGCATTCATTTCCCATTTGTAAGATGCAACTTTTGTTAAAATCGTAAAAATCCGGCCACAAATATGAAAGATAGCGTTGCACATGGGCAATCCATTGTTGACGTGCTACTTCAATTTCAGTTTATGAGAAAAATTTCATTTCAATGCTTTTCTAAATAAGAAAGTTGGAACTGCGCATGCGCAAACCTAAATTTTAAAACTAATGTTAGATTTTCCTTTGTTCCAAGCGCCTAAGTATCAAATTTCACTTAAATGGTTCCATAGATAAAAAAGTTGGCACTGCGCATGCGCAAAATAAAATTTTGAAACTGGCGCTAGATTTTCCTTTATTCCAAGTGCCTATGTATCACATTTCATTTAAATTCTTCCATAAATAAAAAAGTTGGCACTGCGCATGCGCAAAACCAAATTTTGAAATTGGCGTTTTATTTTCCTTTATCCCAAGTGCCTATGTATCAAATTTCGTTTAAATTCTTCCATAAATAAAAAAGTTGGCACTGCGCATGCGCAAAACCAAATTTTGAAATTGGCGTTTGATTTTCCTTTATTCCAAGTGCCTATGTATCAAATTTCATTCAAATACTTTTATAAGTAAAAAAGTTTGCAATTCGGTTTATAAATGGTCGAGATGCGAAAAGGGCACTGTGATTTTGAATCGATTCGATTCAACTTTTGGCATTGCGTATTATATGGCTAAAGCTATGCCCATATTGAATTTCATGCAATTCAGTTCATAACTAACGGAGATTTAAAAGCGATCGAACATTTCTAAACAAAGTTATCGTTCACACGGACAGATAGATGGACAGACAGACAAAGGAACAGACGGAGAGACCAACCGGCAGGCGACTGATAGCAATGCAAAATTATAAACGATCTCTAGGATCGTTAATAAACGGCAAAAGTGTAAAATTATGGAACATGTAAAAAACGGTTTTTTGGTTTTTTTACAATAACTTTTTTAGCAATAAACGCAGAAAAAATTCCTTCCTTGGCCTCGACACTATAACGAACCAAATAGCGAAAAAAGTAGAACAATAGCTCTTAAGATAAAGAACTAGTAGCGTCGCAAAACGAGCGGACGGACGGACGGCCGGACAAAGTGGCCACAATAGCGCATTTTTTTAAGCGCATTTTTGAAAAAAATACGCTATTATATTCGTTATTGCTGGCAGGCCGGCTTTCCGCGTGAGATCTCCACAACTACAATAGCTAGAGAATTCAAATTTTCACTGAAAGCTTTCTGCTATAGTGTAGATGTGCAGGCACTAGTCTATTTTGAGTTAGATTACTTGTGAGATCGATAATTGAAGAAAATAATTTCGATATGGGTTTCGGAGGTGCTATAATTTTACCGTTAGATAGCGCTACCAGTATAAAAACTTATTATTTACTTTGTGATTTGTTTTACAAAATGAAGACGTACCGTCAATTGAAATTAAATAAAATTAATTATTTAACGCAGCCAAAATTACTCGTGAGATCGATAATTTTAAACTTCGCTAATAAAATACTGACCTGCATTACCAAAAATGCGCTTTAATCATGCATATGCTGATTTACAACTTGTTTATTTTTGTGGAAATGCGCTAAAAACAAAACTTGACAACTGTTAGTTTCAACAGGATGGTGCACTCGCGCACAACGGCATAATCGTACGGGAATACCTATCGGGCAATTTCCGGGAAAATAGATAATATATATAAATTATATATATTTAATTATAATAAAAATTCTTGTTTGTTTTTTAATTAATTTATTTCTCAACGTAATGTCCGATAGGTATTCTCGCACAATTATGCCGTTGTGCGCGAGTGCACCATAACCACGAACAGTTTCCAGCTTTTGTTTTTTTGGGGTGTGTGCCATACATCGTTGTATTCGTAACAAAAAATGCTACTCAATACAGTATGTATTTTTTTGACCACATAAAAAAAGTTGATGATTTCTCCGAAACGAAACGTTGTATTGAAAATCTCTTAAGACTGTCTTGTAGAACTGAAAAAATAGCAATGGGAAAGTGTTTCTTGTTTTTTTTTTAATATTAACATTAAAAAAATAAAAACCAATTCCAGCAATTTTCGGTTTTTCTGACATATCTTCGGAAGTAATGAGAAGTTTCTGGTTTTCTTTACAGCATGATAATTTCTCTTTAAATGCGCATCTTTTCTTTAATTTGACCCTCGTCGTATCTTCTATGGTTTCGGAGATCCCCATGATAGATATCCTCATCTTGGACACAGTGTATAGCCAGTGTCTGAATATACAATAATTTGCGCTATTTTTTGCCATGTCGACACTTTTTTATGCACTTATGCAAAATCATTCAAATTTTTGGAAGAAAACTCCAACAAGATGTACAATTGAAAATTTTTGTGCTATTTCTTGCCGTATAAGACAAACTTGTAGGCTTTTTAGGTTAGGCAGAAACTACAAAAACCAAAAACGCGATACAAGAGACGCGGAACCATAGGAACTACAGAAACAGTATAAAAACTACAAGAGCTACTGGAACTACAGGAACTCGAGATGCTGTAGTAACTACCAGAACTACGGAAACTAAATATGCCACAAAAAGGACTCTTAAAAGCTCTTTAGGGTTCTTCAAGACACGTTTCGTAAACACTTTTAAAGGGCATAAAGGACCTTCAAGATTCTTTAAGAAAGTGTATGCTACTTGAAGGGTATCACGGCCTTTAGAAGACTCCTGGAGTTTCTTACAGACCTGAATTCGGGGCTCTTAAAATATCGTAAAGATTTTTAAACAAAATCCAACATGTAAGACACCCCGACCAACCGCTGCTGTCCTAGCGAGGACCACCTGAGCGAGTAGTGACGCGTTCGTTTTTACGACTGTCTTGACGCTAATAATTCGGATACAAAATCACATTGACCTCGAATTTAAATAATATATCTAATCTGTGTTCAATCTAAAATTTAGCTTAAAAAATTGAAAGCTACATACGGTGACTCATTGTTAGCGCATTTTTTAAGAATTAAAAAAAATGTGCTATTGTTTGCGTTTTGTCCGTCCGTCCGTCGGGACCCACTTCTACCGTTTTGAACTACTTCTAGGAAAATGGGCCTAGACTCCTGGAATTTTTTGCAGTAGGTAGATTTTGAAAGTAAAACGTGCATAACTTTTACATACGACATCCAAATGGTCTCAGATTTTGCATGCGCCTTTAGTGATGCCCAACAATGTTCTATTCTAATATTCTAATGAAAGGTCTCATCGAAATAAAGTGGTTTGTAAAGGAACCGTTTTCTACTGCCCTTCTTTTTGTCCTCTTATCAAAGTACGGGGTGGAGGGGGAGGGGGAAGTGGAACTAGATATATTCTTCATGGTACTCTAATGAAAGGTCTCAACCATAGCCCTCCTCCTCGACCTCTTATCGTGATCGGGTATATGCCCTTATACCTCAAGAACGGATTGCCTGAAGAGGGTACTCACAAAGGGCGATTGAGACGTCTGCAAGAAATATATCCGTTGGTGATGTCAAAACAAAAGCTATTTCAGTTAAAAAAATGCGCTTTATCTGCACAAGATTTGTTATTATACGTGCCGATGCCAAATAAATCGTCCGCATGATGTAGTTAACATAACGATATTGCAGTGGCACGTTAATTATCACGAGCAACCGGAAAACCCTCTTCATTAAGGCCATTGCCCAAACGAAGCGGGGGGCAAAGGTCTCCCACCCGGGAGAGGGAGTCGATCTTGTACTCCAAAAGCGCTACGATTCGTCGAACAATTATACGAAAACTGTTCAATAAGTCACCATCTATAGAATTTTATTAAAGAATAAACGTGTAAACAAAAGCAAACACGAGCTATATGGCTATAGTATGCACAAAACTAAATTTTTTAACTGGGACTACATTTTCAAATTTCATTCAAATGCTTTCATAAGTAAGAAAGTTGGCACTGCGCATGCGCAAAACCAAATTTTGAAGCTCGCGTTAGATTTCGTTATAATCCAAGTGCCTATGTATCAAATTTCATTTAAATACCTTCATAAATAAAAAGGTTTTCAGTTCAGAATTCAGTTCATATGTGAATCGATTAGACTCAACTTTTGGGATTTGTGTATTATATGGCTAAAGCTATGCCCATATTGAATTTCATCGTAAAGGACTTTCCTTATATTTTGGCCTACATTGCCAATTCACGAACTCCGATATACACATTTTATAAAGAATCCACCTAACAAATCATCGTAATCGATCCATTCGTTAGTTATCGTGCTAACGGATGGACGGACAGACACCGCAAAATAGATATCGCTGGGTATCTAAAATGAAAATAAATGCTAGGACTAAATAGCAGGATTAGATTTAAAGGTTATGTTTAGTAATGGTTCAGAAAAATGTACTGCGAGAAATTATATAATATCAAGTTTCAGAAGAGAGGCAACAATCACACTGAATACGCGTGTATATTAATTATACGCGAACGTCACAAGTGTAATTAATGTGGGAGAGCAAAGTGCGACAGAAATATCAACCGATCCAATGAGAGTCATCAGATTAACAATGTCATTGCCTAACAGTAGACCGCTCGACAATAGCTGCGAGCTAAATCGCATGGTAAAACGCTTGTACACCTCGCCCAACAAAGGTTTCATAGAAGTAGGGCCGTGCAATGTTTTTATGATAAATAACTTCGAACAGGTTTACGATGGAATAAAAAATCTAACGGTCTACGACGACGACGTTTTCTTACTCGGGTTTCCTAAATCTGGTAAGTACAACAAGCGATTTCACATGTCTAGTAGATTTCTGCGTTAGGAACGCGTTGGACGCAAGAGATGGTGTGGCTAATCTGCAATGATTTTGACTACGAGGGTGCTAAGGAGACGATCTTAACCCGAAGATTTCCAACCCTTGAGTGAGTTCAGTAGTTTCTGTATGAATTGTCATCATGAGACTAATTTAGATTTGATGGCGTTACACATTACAATATTAACATCACCAAGACAATATCGGAAATGAAGCGGCCTCGGTTACTCAAAACTCACCTGCCTTGGAGTTTATGTCCGGACGATATAACGAGCTACTCCAAGAAACCAAAGGTTAAGCATCACATTTGCAGATGAGAGTGAAAATCAGGTTGAGTTCTAGTTCATTGTGGTTACGCGAACCCCTGAAGACGTTTGTCTTTCCATGTTTTACCATGCCAGAACGTCGCAAGGATTCACGGGTAGCTTTGAGGAGTTTTGCATTCTCTTTTTGGCCGGAAAAGGTAAAACCGGGCGAGTTACTATTGGATACTAACGTAACGGTAATCTTTGCCAGTTATGTTCGGATCGTACTGGTCCCAAGTGCTAAGCGTGTGGGAGCAAAGAGACAAGCATAAGATGCTGTTTATAAGGTATGAGGATATGAAAGAAGATCTCGCTGCGGTTATACGTCAAGTCGCGGAGTTTCTCGGCAAAAACGTACCCGAGGAAGAGATGCCCAGACTCGTGAGGCATTTAAGTTTTGACTCGTTGAAGGTGAATCCGGCGTTCAACAACGCAGATTTGATTGCGAAATTTAACGGGCACTGTAATCCGTTTGTGAGAGAAGGTATTGTTGGAGGTCATAAGACGGCTATGACGTCTGAAATGATTGAGCGTTTCAAGATTATGAAAAGGAAAATGTTTGGAGACGCTGGACTCTGCTTTGATTAATTGTTACATAATCATTTCTGTTTTTTTACAGGGCATTACTTTTACCGTATTATCAAGTATTCAATTCGTTTCATTGATAATATCACCCACCAAAATGTTATAATATTTATACCGCCAATTTTGTCACATGGTTGTCTAATCTAATTGTTCATTAAAATGCCTGCATGTTGAAGGACTGACTGTTGTTATACAGGGTGATTTATATCAACGTTGCATTTTTTAAATAGAATCCCCTGTATCTTACTGCATAGTTCGAATCCTTGATCAATTTTAGCTCATTTTAAAAGATAAAATAATGAATTTTGCATTTAAACCAATCCGTGAGTTTAAATAAATCAATTTGAATAGTAAGCCATGAAAATATTAAAACAAAATTCTTGAGATGGGTTAGTGAGTATATGTTTCACTTCTACGGTTCCAAATTGCACGCTATGTATCCGTAGCGTGTTTCGTCTTTGACTAGACCGCTGATAACGGAAATGAGTTTCGATTGGGGCAAAGCACATCTCGGGGTGAAATCTTATGGCGCTGCGATTTGTCGTTATTGATGGTTAGCATTCATTTTCCTCTTTTGTTCGCCAATTTGTGAATGAATTTTATCCCTTCACTCCAGTAGTAGGATGTAGTTGTGTATTCTTCTTCATTGTAAGTACGCCATTTACATTTAAACTGCTTGACGTACATCTTCTTTAGGTTCCGGCTGACATTTAATACAATTTTCCATCGACGATAGTTGCACGTTCATCTATTAGCCCTCTTATTTATAGAGGTATGTACATTTTAAGGTTATTAACGACGAGGGTTACATTTAATTTCTTTTAGGGTTTTAATGTTCAGTTCTAATGTCACGCTCGAGGCTATTTTAATTTATGATACCAATTCCAATTCCATTTTAACGTTTAAATACGCATGTGGGTAACCTTGAAGTAAAGTATCGAACACCGCTTGACGGCCTTGCCATTTACTGATAAGGGAACCGCCATTTGCTGAAACTGGGTTATACACCAGATTCGATCCACAACCAAGAAACAACTTCGGAAACTTTCTAGCGTATTAATCAATAACTACTTTTGCCCCTTCAGGATTATATGCAGTCACTTTTAATTAACTTGTTACCTTCAATTTTTATAGTTAAAAATCTTGCGACCTCTGTAAAGTTATGATCGAGTTTTCTCACGTATGTTATTGTAGACGGCCACTTCCTTCCGAAGCGTTGGCTAAGTATCCGTATCTTATAGAAACTTACTACGAGTAAGGCGAGACCCTTCAGGCATTGTTCAGTTCTTTGCATTCCGAGTTCCGCTTGTGAGTGTTCTTTTGTTTGCAGATTTTATGAAAATCCGAGAACTGAGCTCACTTCTCGGGATTACCTCTTTTAAATGAAGGTAAGCATTGTCTTTCTTGTGGTTTACTAGTATTTGGTCATACATGTACGCATTTGTGTTCGGAACAAATTGGCTTGTACTCTTTTTGATCCCCTCGCACTTTCTCAATTTCATACGGGGAGAGGTGCGCTAGAAATTGAGTGGCGCTCAACCTTGGTAAGTGCAAGAAGATTTTACCCAAAACGAATTACCGCTGTAGAAGATTCTCAAGTTCTCATTTTGTGTTTTTCCCTGAGCTAGTTGGTCGTTTATGCGTCGGTTTTGAGAAATTGTAGCGCCAATTCAACTACCCGTGATACATTGAACAATCTAAATCTAACATTAACAAAGGTTAAATATTTTCGTAAACGTAAACGGCGAAACAACGAACGAATAAGGAAACGATGCGAATCCTGTAAACTGACTCGACATAGGCAGACTACTTCCTATGGAACTGCAAGCGTAGTCCACTCCGCCAGCTTGCAGGGGATTTCTTCTCTGTGAAGAGGCTTTGGAGTCGCTGGCGAAGGTGATACTGGAGAACGTCAAAGAAAATTCCTGAGCGCGTTCCTTTGGTGTTTCTTCTCCTCTCGTTTCTCCCTCTTCGAAGCGTAGTGTAACAGTTTTAAAATAATATTAACATTTCTGTCCATATTTCAGTTTCCACCTGTATATTTTCTACATTTTCTCGAGTCATTGAATGCGACCAATTTCTAGTTACTTTTGCATTTTTGTGTTTGCCTCTCCGATTTAACTTCTTGTCGGTAGAGGACATTTAGTTTGTTTTGCTTTTTTTATGTTAACCATTACATTACCTTATATGGTCATGTATCAAGTATTGCTCTACTATTTGTCAGAGATAACTATCCGTACCTTTGGCTTGGGTAAAATTTCGAAATTTGTGGCGTCTTCCAGCAACCTGCAATACAATCGGTCGTGCTAAATTCCCGAATTTCGGCGTTTGATATATTTTCCCATGGTCGAATTGATTTAATATTTAGCGGAAACATCTTTAATCAATCGATTACCCGTTGTGCCGACAATTTGTTTTTGGACGTTCGGTTACAATTTTTTCCGAAATGGACTTTTAATACGGAAAACTCAAGCATTCCAAATCGTAAGTGTTTTCTTGTGCACGAATTGAGGTTACCAATGTTCTTTTTTCTATTGTAGGGGAACAAATGCCGACCATATTTTGGGACATTTGGTAGGTATCCAGTTCTTTTCTTTTGTGTACTCTCTGAATAAGAGGTTAGCATTATTGTGGGTTATAACGTAGTCGTAATTAGGTTACTTTTAAGAGTCTTTGCAAGGGGGTTAATATTCAGCTGAATCCTGGGAAATAATCGGCCTACTGCAGATGAGTGTGCTGTAAAACATCCCGTAGAATCATTAAGATCTTAAGGGCAGCCGAACGTAGATCGGGAGAGGAATATACCTGGAGCACAGGAACCTGTGGAATTGCCGAAACAATTTATCGTTAGCGATGACGTACCTTCAACCTTTTTTTTATTTTGTTACGACCTAAATACCTACGAACAGTTTATTTGACCCACATACGTAAGTGGAAATTTTTACGTGTAATTAGTATGCTTGATCTAACTATCAAGTACGAATTACTCTAGAGAAGTAATCACTTGTAAGGTAAAGAGCTCGTTACTACGATTAACTTCAACACCTCAAGCTACCAATTATAGTACATCATTTCAATTTTAATTTCTATTAATTATACTTGTCGTTGCTTAGCGGTACGAGGTGTCACATAACTTCAGGGGTTGTTGGTGGGTTAATTTTTGTGTTAATAGTTCATGGGAAGATTTCATTTTTTTTTGTATTTTGCATATACTTTGGTTAATAAACAATAATTTTTCTTGTGGGTCAATTGTTGACTCTTTTTATACTGAAGCTACCTTTCCTAATTCCGGTGGCTGCAGATAAAATTCTTAGCGGAATTAGGTGGCGCCCGAAAGACTTGAATCGAAGCACCAGTAAGTATTAGTGGCGGAGATTTACTTGGAACCTTTTATAATAATTTGTGGTCAAAGTTTTTAATTAACTTACCTACTAACCCTGAGTAAGAGCATATCTCTCTACGCTGTTAACTATTTGGCTAACGGAGCTAGCTGACCGATCAGCGGCGTGTGTTGATTTCAAATTGCACATCGTATTTTATAGTGCCCTGCATTCTAAGCTTGCGCGTTAGAGTGCTGTGAGAGTTAGAACTTTTTAAAAAAATACTTCTGCACCCGATAATATTTTGAAACAATATAAATCGTAATGTGAACAAATTTATTTAAAGTTTCAGAAATCATATATTCAATCATATATTCAAATCAATATCAAATACCAAAAGATAATAAAATAGAAGAGGCAATAAATGTGTTAATGTTGAAAACGTTTCAAATATAAATATATAAATTTAATTTATGGTCACTTTGATTACTTTAGTGTAAAAGGTTGATGTAATTTATTAGACATAACAATGCATTTTAATGGGCAAAAACTGCGTGTTTTTCGTAAAAAATTATTATCTGCATAAAACAATTCAGCGTAAAATTTTGATACGTGACTTAAGGAGCGTCAAGAAACGGAGTTTTGTCAATTTGGAGGCCGAATTGCTGTTCGTTGGAAGCTTAGAAAACGCGCGTCCTGCGTTTAAGGTATGGCATTGTTCATCAGGTTTTGAGAAGACGTATTTAAAAGTTGGGTGTAGGAGTTTTCTTGAAATTGTGGTCTACTATGTTCGAACAGCAATCGTTTCTTCTGTCGTCTGTTGGCCAGTCATTCTAAGTCAATTGAGGAAAATTACGTTCCTACCTGAAGAGAAGATAAGTTAAAGAAAAACAAAAGTAAAGCGATACGTTTTGTTAAGTAGTTTAAGATTTCATTAATTTGTTTAATTGTTATCCAACGCTTATGCAGGGTGTGTAAACTGACCTTGATATAGTCCACCTTAATTGTTAGAATCTTATGATTATTTGATTTGTGTGTTTAAAATAAATTTTGTTTGTGTGAATCCATGTAAATCGTGTGTTTATTCGAACCCTTTTAACGATCCAGATGAAGGTCTCATGCTTAATTATGATCAATTTTGTTGTTCCGTAATCCTTTTGGAATTTAAGGAATTTGATCGTGGTCATTATTTGACTTGGATTTTGGAATTTGAAGTCGAAGTCGATTGAAATTTTTCATTGTGCCAGGATTCAGATGTGTCCTGGGAAAATTTTAATACGAGAGATAGGTAGGTTCATTTTTATTTGTACGAGTACATAAATGCAGGCACATCGAAAAGCTTTGGCACTATAAGAGCTAGAATATAACCTAAAAAATACTTTGTTCTTCATGGCCTGCCTTTTTTGGAGGTACATCGTAAGTAAGAGGTGGTCAAGGTATCAGTGCGCGTTACGTCCCAAAAAAGAGCCTTACCACATCATGAGTTTTACCGTCGGATCTCTTGTTCTTACTTCTGTAGCACCCCGAATGTTCTCGTAACGAAGCAATTTCAGCGCTCTTTTAACTAACTCGTTAATCACTTGCTACAATATACTTATATGAAATAATGTAGTCCACAATAATATACCTACGTACATTTCTGAATTGTATTGAAACTGGGTAGAATTTCGTGTAGGTCTAGACGACTAAATTATTATTTTTAGCCTGATTAAGATCTATTCTGCTTATGTAATTTGTACTAAATCTAATAATATTACTAAAATTACATTTTATACCTTTAAAATCACAAAATAAATCTCTTTGCGTGCCCAACGTTATTACTGTGGCTATTTCTGTTGCTTTTCAAAACGTAACAATTGTATTGTCCCT